ACACGCACCCGGCGTGAGTTTTAAGCCACCGGGTCCAGGACGTGAACCGCGGTCGACTACGTGGGAGTCCAGCGACATAGCCATTACGCTAACTGCTGGTTCCCTCTAATTTTTTTTTTTTAAGGAGATTTTTGCTATAGGGCATGTACATTTGCTGGAGAGACAGAAAGTGAGAAATCAGCCCTGTAGGAGGATGGCTACACCGCGATCCCTTCTCCTTCACTCCCCTCTTGGGATTTTGGGCATGCACACACGGGTGCCTGGCATAAGTTAAGTTGCCAGGTCTGAGACTTGAACTACTACGGTTGACTACATGGGAGTCCAGAGATGGAACCATTATGTCATCTTCTGGTCCCTCTTCATATTCTTATCCTATAAACCTTTTTGTATTTAAAAATATTTTGCCTTTTTAAACACTTTTGTTAGAAACTGAGACACAAACACACACATTAGCCTAGGCCTTACACAGGGTCAGGATCACCGGTATCATTGTCCTCTGCCTCCACATCTTATCCCACTGAAGGGACCACAATGCATAAAATGGCCCAAGAGAAAATTATGCCATCAATAAAAGCCTAAACATGAGATATATGAGGCTGCTGTCAGTGTAACACAGCATCCTTTGTTTCTGCTTTCAGTTTATTTATTAAATTTTTAAAATTTTATTTAAAAAAATATTTTTTGCTATAGGGCATGTGCACTCTCCAAAGAGAGAGAGAGACAAAGGGAAAGTGAGAAATCACCCTTCAGAAGGTACGACCATTACGCAATCCCTTCTCCTCCATTCTCTTCTTGGGATTTTGGGCACATACACACAGAGACCCAGTGTAATTTTTAAGGTGCTGGGTCCAAGTTTCCTTCCTTCCTTTTCTTCTTTCTTTTTTAAATAATTAATTATTTTTTCACATGAGTTTTGCCAGAGAGAGAGAGAGCAAGCAAGAGAGAGCAAGCAAGAGAAAGCAAGAGAGAAAGCAAGCCACCAGGTCCAGGACTTGAACTGTGATCAGCCATGTGAGAATTTCAGCACTCTAACCATCAGACCACCTGTTGGCCCCCTGGGTCCAAGTTTCCAAGCACGACTGGCCATGTAGGAACCCAGCATCTTGGCCACCATGCCACCTGCTGGCCATGACATACTGTTTTATAGTAAACTTTTTTCTTTGCTTTTTATGAGTAGAATGAATATGCTTTAAAATAACAATAAAAAGTGCGGTACAGTAAATTTGGATTTACTGTAAACAAATTTTACTCATTTACTGCCACAGTGATAACTGCAGCCCATCCACTGCCTTCTGAGATTCTCTTAATGTGGCAGTTCTGTGGGGCCTGCGGGAGAAACACTGTAGCCTTCTTCCCCCATTTGCACAGATGCTGCTTCTAGCTTCGACAACAACACAATATGATGATCCGGAGGCTAAAATGACTGTAAGGAGCATTGCCAAACAGAAGGCTTTATACCACAAAGTGTTGTAACAACAAGCAAACTGCTTTCCAAGGAGCACTTTGCTGTGGAGAAAAGAGTTCTAAATAATTTCTGAACTAAGAGAGGCCCCACAGTGTGCCATTTGACGATCCTCCATTGCCAGGATGGAAACAGACTTTTCAAGCAAATCCTTCCTTGACAAAGAGAAATGTCACAACACAGTTGAGTTAATGCCCATAGACAGATTAGAAAAGAAGGCCTGGAAACTTTTATTTTCTCTTATGATCAATTTCAAGTGTCCTGGCTGTACGTTTTCTATATGTAAGTTGATGTAAGTTGGGTCCCCATACTAGCTTGTAAAAGGTGAAGAGTAACAATAAATGGTGACGTGGGGCAGCAGGTGGTGAACCCCACATGGCTGACCACAATTCGAGTTACAGACCAGCCTGCTTGAAAATCATGCTAGTGATGCACGCATGTGTGTGCATGCCCAAGATCCTGAGAAGAGGATGAAGAAAAAGAGACTGTGGTGTGGCCATCTTCCCAGGAGGAGGGGTGGATGGTGGGATGGGTGAGCTCTCACTTTCCCTTTCTCTCTCTCTCTCTGGCCAGTGCACATGCCCTATGCTACCTTGACTGGACCTTCGGATTCATTTTTCACTTCTTCTTGCCCTGCTCCTTCAAGGCCTAACCCCACTCTTTACCCTAGCCCCTACCATCTCCTGGAAAACATTCTGTGTTCTCTCTAGGGCGAATATGCTCTGCAACAGTTTACCAAGAAATGAGTAGGAATTGAGTGTAAGCATTTGAAAATATTTATAACAACTGTCAGTGTAATTTTAAATTTATTGGGTACAATAACTAATGATAATAAACCAGGACTTGTGTTTTGTATTTTTATCTTTCTTTTAAAAAAATTATTTATTTAATTTTTACTTAATTCATTTATTTTAATTTGACTAGAGAGAGAGAAAGAGAGAGAACAAGTCATCAGATCTGGGACTTGAACCATGGTCGGCCATGTGTGAGTGTCCAGCACTTTAGCTACCACACCCCTTGCTGGTCCCTGTACTTTTATCTTTCTAATAGTTCCTGTTTATTATATTTTACAAAAGTAGCTATCTTTAACAATTTGGAAATTAAAAAGAAAAAAAAATCAATTCGAGTCCTGGATCTGGAGGCTTGCTTTCTTACTACCTTCCCAACTTCTGGTCAGAGCACATGCCCTATAGCAAATTTTAAAACGATAATAAATAAAGTTAAATAAGTAATTCTTAGGGGAAAAATAAGTTTGAGTTAGACCTCACCTATCTGACCTGAAGGGATGTCATAACATTCTGAAAAGTAAAAAAAAAAAAAAAAACACATACAAAGAAGTGAGTGTATACAGTGTTCCGATTTTTTTTAATGAAAAAAGTAAATGCCTGTCTGCATGTATACTGAGGTACTGTATTATTTTAAATGACTATGAGATGAAGAGAGAAGATATGAAGTCTACCTACCCTCTGGCTGTTAAAATTACTTACAGAGTATTGGGCAGAAGAGTCAAGGGTCAAGCAAAAAATAAGACCAAAGCAAGTGTCTTTCAAAGTATCCATCATTTTAAATGTAAGACCCTAAACTATTCATGCAAAATTATATATAGGAGCCCTGTGTGCATATGTAGTTCTCTCTGTCTCTCTAGAAAGGGAAAGGACAGAGACAGAGAGCATATTAACGAATGGTAACCAAAGTTATAGCTGTTATCTCACCAGGGGTTGGAGGTACTCTGGGAATTTTTATTTTCTTCCTTGTATATTTTTCTTTTTTTAAAAGGTCATTTATTTATTCCATAAGCAGAAGAGAGAGAGACAGCACCTCTAATATATCATGGGCACGTACATACCCAGCACACTAGGGAGGTCTCCGGACATGAACCTGTAACCTTCCCACATGGGTCCACCTTGCAGAGGCATTATGTTTTGCCACTGAGCCGCTGTTCCGCTCCCTTTGCATTTTTCTTTTGTTTGAATATTTATAATAACCAACTATTATGTATATAAATAAGAAAATGCAGCAAAGTTAAAATATCTACTTACAGGAGACACCTTCCCCATTTCTACTTCTGCCTCCTACATTTCCCTCAAGTCCAGTCCAATGTCTCTAACGGACCCCAGGTCTCTCCCTAGCCCCATGCCGTCCTCCACATGAAAGCCAGAGCAACCTTCCTATAACGCATATCTGGGATGACACTCCCCTGCCTGAATCTTTTCCACGGCTGCTCAGGGCCCAAAGCAACAATTCAAAATCAATCATCTTCAGTGCTGCACTTTGCAGCCTCATCCACTCCCCGCTGCTCCTTCCTGAAGACCCATTCAAATACCGTATCCTTCTTCCACGACTCCGACATCCTGCCTGTTTTCCCATCGCACTCTGTATACGCTTTATTAAAGCACTGCTATGGCTAGGTGTCCCGCCCAAATTCACGTGTTGAAAATTGGTTGTTATTCAATGGTATGAAAAGACGGACACCTAATTTGACTACGGGATTAAAAGGCAGAGTCTTTGGGAGTAGATTAGAATTAGATACGATCAGGTGGAGCTCCCTCTAACTGAATCCTGGTGGGATCTTATGAGAAGGACTGACCCCACACCAGAGACACATGGAAACAGACGCAAGCTCTCTGTGTCTCTGTCTCCACGTGATGCCCTGTACTTCCCAGGAACTCTGCAGAGTCGCCACCAATAAGAAGACCCTCACCAGGTGTAGCCATTGGCCCTCGAAAAGCCAGAACTAAATAAACCTCTATTCTTCATAAATCACCCAGACTCAAGTATTCTGTTATTAGCAACAGAAAAACAAACTAAACAGGCACCGAGATAATTGTTTTGAATGATTTGTTTTCTTTCTCTCCTATACTATCAGCTATTTGAGGACAAGACTGTATCTTAAGAGTCTTTACTGAATGGATGAGTGAATCTGTACAAGTGGAACCCAAAATAGTGGGAACCAGCAGTTAGCATAATGGCTATGTCGCTGGACTCCCACGTGGTCGACTGAGGTTCACGTCCTGGACCCGGTGGCTTAAAACTCACGCCAGGCTCATGTGCATGCATGCCCAAGATCCTGGGAGGAGAATGGAGAAGGGATTGCGGCATGGCCATTCCCCCTGGGGGGTGATTTCTTGCTTTCTGTCTCTATGTCTCTGTCTGTCTGGCGAGCGCACACACCCTATAGCGAAAACCTCTAAAAAAAAAAAAAAGTGGAACCCAAAATAGTAAATGCAAATGCATGCCAACCATATTAAATGTCCATATAAGTATTGAAAACAGGTAGAAAGGGAAACATTTTAAAGTTCATTTTTTTTCTTTTCCAGCAGCTGGCTTTTTAAATTAACTGTCATTAATTTACCAAATAAACAATTAATATTAAAATCATTGAAAGTTAACTACAGTTTAAATATCTACAAAAATAAAATGGAGACGTCAGAAGGAAGCCCTTTGATAGACAGTAGAGAGTCAGTATTCTTAACACCACACCAGCTCTGAAACAGCATCTCTCCCCGGTAAACCACAGCCCGGCTGTGTGGCTACTTACTGGAGTTGAGGAGGATCATGGCCTTGACACAGAGATACTCTTTGTGTTGGAGTTTCAACTCTCGAAACCTTGAAGTCGTTGCCAGAAGCATATCGAAGATTTCCAGAATTCCTTCTACACACTTCCCCTCATCCCTACAAAAATTTATTTAGAAATTTAAGGAACAAAACTTCAGGCAACCATCAAAAAACAGTAAAAAGTGTCTTATTTTTAATCTCAAATTTTACCTTCTATATCTTTTGACTATAACAAGGTGTTAAAAATTACTTTTAGTAATCATTGTTATTATTATTTTAATTTGCTGTCAGGCACATGCACTCATGAGAGAGAGAAAAAGAGAGAGAGGGAGAGAAAGAGAGTGAGAAAAAGTCACCAGGTCCAGGACTTGAACCACAGTTGGCCATGTGGGAGTCTAGTGTCTTAACTACCATACCACCTGCTGGCCCCAGAATTTTCTTTATATAGAGAAGACAGGGCATTTCCTCTAAACCCTTAGAGTAGAGCTCTAGAAAAATATTATTTAGGCAAAAATGTGTATTGAACCACATTTCCCTTCTGTTCACCAAATGTGTTCTTATAGGACTACCATTCCATTATTTTCAGTCAACCAGCCCTAGCTGAGATACATATTAAAATGAGATCTTCTGGGGCCAGTAGGTAGTATAGAGATTAAGGCATTGGAGTCTCACATGGCCAACTGCAGTTCGAGTCCCAGGCCTGGAAGCTTGAAACTCATCAGGCACATGTGCGTATGTGCTTAAAAATCCTGAAAAGAGGGACCAGCAGTTGGCTATGGATCGAAGATTTCCAGAATTCCTTCTACACACTTCCCCTCATCCCTACAAAAATTTATTTAGAAATTTAAGGAACAAAACTTCAGGCAACCATCAAAAAACAGTAAAAAGTGTCTTATTTTTAATCTCAAATTTTACCTTCTATATCTTTTGACTATAACAAGGTGTTAAAAATTACTTTTAGTAATCATTGTTATTATTATTTTAATTTGCTGTCAGGCACATGCACTCATGAGAGAGAGAAAAAGAGAGAGAGGGAGAGAAAGAGAGTGAGAAAAAGTCACCAGGTCCAGGACTTGAACCACAGTTGGCCATGTGGGAGTCTAGTGTCTTAACTACCATACCACCTGCTGGCCCCAGAATTTTCTTTATATAGAGAAGACAGGGCATTTCCTCTAAACCCTTAGAGTAGAGCTCTAGAAAAATATTATTTAGGCAAAAATGTGTATTGAACCACATTTCCCTTCTGTTCACCAAATGTGTTCTTATAGGACTACCATTCCATTATTTTCAGTCAACCAGCCCTAGCTGAGATACATATTAAAATGAGATCTTCTGGGGCCAGTAGGTAGTATAGAGATTAAGGCATTGGAGTCTCACATGGCCAACTGCAGTTCGAGTCCCAGACCTGGAAGCTTGAAACTCATGCTGGGCACATGTATGTGCATGTCCAAAATCCCAAGAGGAGAATGGAGAAGGGATTGTGACATGGCTATCCCCTCTGGGGGGGTGATTTTTTGCTTTCTGTCTGTCTCTCCAGTGAGCACATGCACTCTATAGCAAAAATCTCTCAAAAAAAAAAAAAAGAGAGAGAGAGAGAGAGACCTCTCATATTGCCATCAGGAAGTATTAATAACCATTACAGAAGTAAATATCTCCAGAAAAAATAAACCTTCATATCTAGAGCTTGACTCACACATCCTGGTGGTCACATAGAAACTGGTGTGGCAACTAACAAATGTAATTTGAAAAAAGTAAATATGATAAAGAAATCAATCAGGATGCAAAAATGGAAGAGAAGGGATTGTGGCATGACCGTGCCCCATTAGGGGGTGCTTTCTCTCTCCCCTCCTTCGTCTCCCTCTGGTGAGTGCACATGCCCTTTGGTAATTAAAAACAAAATAAGTCACAATTACAGAAGATAGATTATTGATAGCATCAGGAAAAAAGGTATATATAAAGTCATGGGCATTTTTAATTTGCTTAAGATTATTTTTAAAAATAATTATTCAATTTTGTTTACTCATTCATTCATTCAAATTTGACCAGTGAGAGACAGACAGACAGACAGAGAAGAAGTGAGAAACCAAGCCACCAGGTCTGGAACTTGAACTGTGGTTAGCCACATGGGAGTGTCCAGAGCCTTAATCACCGTGCCACCTGCTGGCCCCTGCTTAAGATTATTTTTAAGAAAAAGTTTTAGGCAACCTTCCAACTATTTCATCAAAATTTTTCTGACTACTCCTTATAGAAATTAATTTTTAACTATACCTTTGGAGTAATCAGTCGACATTCATCTAGAAAATACTGACTTTTCTTTTCTCCAGCCACACATTATTCTACCTCCCTGCTCCCCAAAACTCCCACCATCAGGTACAGAATCACTGGACGTGCCTGACATACAGTTATGTGGTTTTGCCATGAGACCTTCATGGCTCCGGAAAGCCTGCAGGACACAGTGAAAGCAGCTGGGTAGCAATGGGTTTCTGCAAGTTTTATTTTTAAAATCTATTGCAGCCCCTGAAGGGGCTCTGAGGTCTTCAAAGAGCTGGCTGTTTCCCTCCTCCTCCCTCCAACCCCCTAGCCCTATCATTCTAGCGATGGCCCTGTTTGGGGGAAAAGCCTCTGTAGAATTCCAACAAACTGACCCCGTGGACGGGAAGTCTCTCCCATCAGCCGCTGTGCTAGGGCAGCTCTCCAGGATCCTGCCTTCTGCAGCATTCGCATCCTCCTCCTCCAGAGGACTCACCCACTTGGACCTATCAGCATGCATATTCACTTTAGCAAAAGAACATGGGGTACGTTTTGCAAACAGTTATGGTTTTCTGAAAGTGCCCAGGTTAAGTGACAAAATACCAGTGGTACCTAGAAATCATTCAGAGAAAAAGCTCACCTTGGAGAACTGAAACTCTTGGCAAGAGTGCCAAAATCTGTAGGAAACCCCAACTCCTCCTTTGCCCCTTCTCCCCACTTCCCCAGCTCTGAGTCTCCCAGGCAGCCTGCTGCAGCCACCCCGTGACAACACAGGCCCTGCACACAGCAGAGGCACAAGGAATACCAAATGCCCCTCATGCCACATTATCCACTCTGCTTGGCAACAATTAATTATTTGACATTGTAACTGTTGGACTTGAGGACATTTGGTACCGAGAAAAGCAGGTTTTAAAAATCTGAGGGGTGGGGACCAGCAGTTAGCATTATGGCTATGTCGCTGAATTTCCATGTAGTCAACCGCATTTCTAGTCCTGGACCTGATGGCTTAAACTCATGCTGGGCACATGTGCGTGCGTGCCCAGGATCCCAGGAGGAGAATGGAGGAGAAGGGATTGTGGCGTGGCCATCTCCCCTGGGGGGTGATTTCTCGCTTTCTGTCTCTGTGTTTCTCTCTGTCTCTCTGGCAAGTGCACATGCCCTATAGCAAAAACCTCTCCAAAAAAA